CTCCTTCTTTCCTTCTCTCTTTGTATCCCCTCTTTCCTTCCTTCTTTCCTTCTCTCTACTCTTTCTCTTTCCTTCCCTCTTTCATCCTTCTGTGGCCCAACTTTAAAACCCTTCTCTCTTCGCTCCCCTCCCCACAGGCCAGCTGGGGAAGGGGAGGCTTTTGAAGAAGCCTCCCCCCTTTTGCTTCCCCCTGCCTCTATACCATACTATACCATACTCTATACCCCTGCCTCTATACCATACTATACCACCAAACCATCCACTTGGTAATGACAGGATGTCTACTACACACATGCACGCACACACAGAAAGCGACAGCTGACGGACACGAAACATTATTTTAATTTATAAACGTCTTTTGCCAAGACTGTTCTCCAAAACATCTTGTAAAAACATAGAAATGCAGCAAAAATATATACAAAACTTTTTTGGGGGAGGAAGTATGTACAATTCAGATTACAGAAGCCACAACAAAGGATGAAAGATGACCCACAGCTCAGTCATGAGAGAAAATCTCAGTCTTTAGGGGTATGTGTGTGAGTGCTGGGGCCACCACTGAAGAGGTCCCGCTGATCTTGGTCGCCAATCTCGCCTTCTGCCACTTAACCAGAGCGTCATCAAGGAGCCCACAGAACTGGGGGCGTTCATGGTACTTCGGGCCCATGTGGAAGACAAACATGCCCACCTCAATCGGACCTGTGGTGTGAAGATAGACAGGGGTAATAAGAAGACACCCCCCGGCCTCTCCAAACCAAGGGGAGAAGCTAGTCGGTGGAAAATTTGGGGGACTCAGTGATATCCTCATGGAAGAGCCTCTGATAGATGGTTTATAGTCCGGGCAGGCTCAGCCCCTGCAATCGTCACCAGTCTCATAACTGTGGGGGAAACTAACACATTCGCATAAAGACCCTGTTCTACAAATACCATTTCACACCCAGAGGCTAAGAGTGATGCCCGTTTGCAAATATCAAGGCGTTTCCACACCAGTTAGCTCTTTTGTCCACTGCTGGGTGTCGAGTTGGCAGCGAATCAATAGGCCCACCTTGCCGCAGAACCGATCGATGCCCGGTTCTCCCTCTGCCCAGGACAAGTGCCCGTCACTTTCTTACACAAGGCAGGCCGGAGGTTATGAAGACGACCGCCCCCCCGGACGTACGGAAGGGAAGGACACGAATGCCTCATCACGGGAAGTAAAAGAGACCTGTCTGGAGGCCCTGGGTTCAAGGTTTCTCGCTGGCCCAAAGTTGCCATGGTGAGTAGGTGTGCGGGGGGGAGGGTGTGTGTGTCACAGTTGCCTCCACTATTTCAGATCGGGTAGGGAGGAGCCCAGATAGGTGCGCAAGTCACCGACGGTTGAGCGGATGATTTTGGCCGGGATGGTTTCCTTGTTCAGGCGCTTGTAGGCCTCGTATCGGTGGCAGCCTCCGAAGGAGTAGAAATAGTCGCCCCCCTGGCTGCCTTTGATCCAGAGGACGTCTATCGGGGGCACTCGGTCAGCTTCCTCCTGGCAGAGAGAGAAAGGGAGAAATGAACAGATAACCCACTGCAATGCTCCCTCTAAGCTGTGGAGCCTTGTGAGCAAAAATTCTACTTTTGTGAGCTACTGGCATGAAAGTTGTGAGCGAGCAATTTGGCTCCTGCATAAACTAGTTTGCTCTGGAGCCATCGTTCTCGAGCTAAGGCAAAAACATGTGAGCCGGAGATAGAGATGTGAAGGCTCGGAAAAAATCGGGGGGTGGGGGTGTTTTTTTCCGTTTTTTTTCCTTAAGCCTTTTGTTTTTTTTCTGAAAAATTGGAAAAAAATGGAAAAAGAAAAGGAAAAGAATGATTATGGGACATTTTATTTTAACATGATGAATAAAATATTTTAAGACAAGGTGTTCAAATATTTCCCAGATCATTTCTAAAAAATATGTATGGTATCAGATTGATCTAATTTCTGTGCACTGAGGACAAGCAAGTCCTACGTTACAAACTGAACTCTCCAATGCAAGAACAAGATGCATTTCTTCCTTTAGGATGTGCAATTGTCAGAGGAAAAGAAAAAAGGTTTCAGTTCTGTTTTTGCACGTGGGTGGGTATTCTGTTTGTAATAGTTGTTTGGATACACTCTAGTTTTAATATGCTAGTTCTGATAATTTCATGCCAAGTAAAAATGTCCATAGTCATATTTTATGTTCCTAAAGCAACAGAATGACTTTCAATCTGGAAAAGAAAAAAGAAGTGGTGATGTAGAATTTTCAATTTTCCCGAAAATTTCAATTTTTTCCCCCGGAAAAAAATTGGGGGGAAAATGGGTTTTTTTCCGAGCTTCAAAATTTCCAGAAATTTTACATCTCTAGCCGGAGACTGAAAAACTATGCGTTGGCTCACACTAACTCAGCTTAGAGGGAACACTGGCCCACAGGGACTTCTGGGCCTATTTCTTCCAGGACACTTGAAGCTGGACGTGAATTCTTGCACCGTTCCCCACCACCACCCATTGTATTAGCACCTTGTGGGCAATGCAGCTATTATAACAGAGTTCTCGTACTCATCATAATTTGCTTTCGATAGCCAGTAGTGGAAATGCCTTCAACTGAGAGCCCGTTTGGTGTAGTGGTTAAGTGTGCAAACTGTAATCTGGGAGAACCGGGTTTGATTCCCCACATCCTCCACTTGCACCTGGCTGGATGGCCTTGGGCAAGCCGTAGTTCTGACAAGAGCTGTCCTTGAAAAAGAACAGTTTCTGTCAAGAGCTCTCTCAGCCTCGCCTACCTCACAGGGTGTCTGTTGTGGGGAGGGGAAGGGAGAGGAGATTGTAAGCCGCTCTGAGATTCCTTTGAGTAGTGAAGGGTGGGGTATAAATCCAATCTCTTCTTCACGTCACAGCCAACTTTTACAGACCCTGTAAGGGTTTTCAAGGCAAGAGACGGACAGAGGTGGTTTGCCATGGCCTGCCTCTGTGTAGACTTACTCGGTGGCCTCCCATCCAAGTACTAACCAGGGCTAACCCTGCTTAGCTTTTCAGATCTGATGAGATCAGGATAGCCTGAGGTGAAATGAGTCTAGGCATCAACAAGAAACCACTTGGGAACCCTACATGAGTTTGGGCAAGGCAAAAATGAATACAAGAGAAGCCAGTGTTGGATCAGGCCAATGGCCCATCTAGTCCAACACGCTGTGTCACACAGTGGCCAAAAAGACCAGGTGCCATCAGGAGGTCCAGCAGTGGGGCCAGGACACCAGGAGCCCTTCCATTGTTGCCCCCCCAAGCACCAAGAATACAGAGCATCCCTTGCCCCAGACTGACAGTCCCCATCTATACCTTGTGGCTAAGAGCCACTGATGGACCTCTGCTCCATATACGAACATAAGAGACGCCAGTGTTGGATCAGGCCAATGGCCCATCGAGTCCAACACTCTGTGTCACACAGTGGCCAAAAAGACCAGGTGCCATCAGGAGGTCCA